TGAGCATATCATTGCATACACTTCAAAACATTGGAATTCTGCACAACAGAATTATTCTACTGTTAAAAAGGAAGTTTTGGCAATTGTTTTATGCGTTTCAAAATTCCAATCTGATTTATTAAACCAAAAATTTTTAATTAGGGTAGACTGCAAGTCTGCCAAAGAAATTTTACAAAAAGATGTTAAAAATCTTGCCTCAAAACAAATTTTTGCGAGATGGCAAGCAATTTTAAGTGTTTTTGATTTTGACATAGAATATCTCAAAGGCACTTCAAACTCCCTTCCTGATTATCTTACCCGTGAATATTTACAGGATAAGTAAGATGCCTAGAAAGGCAGTTACCCCTTCTAGGGGAGGAACCACCAGAGGCGGCAAAGTCAGATTAGCTCTGACTCTAAACAAACCAAGACCACAATCTGCTTCAGCAGATTCAAAAACCTCTTCTTCTGGGTCATCCACCCCCATTGAGTCATCGACTCAAAAGGCAATCCAAATTGTTGAGTCATCAACTCAGCAATCTGGAACTCCAAAAGAATCCTCCAAAAAGACTGATTTTGTTGTCAAAACCACCAAACAAACCAAAGCAGACTATGCTCTCCCAATTAGTACGCTTTTAGCTGTCCAACAAGGAAGCTTGAGTACCCTACCAAATAAATCTTGGGCAGACATTGCCTCTGAAGAAGATATGGAATTAGATTTAGCTAGCCTAAACACTATACTCCAGTCCTTCAACCAAACCCAAAAAACAATAACCAATAAAACAGAAGGGACCCTTGACCTTCAAAAGGGAAAACAAAAAACTTCAAATCCAAGCCATTATGTAGCCAAAGGAAAATTCTCCTCAGTCATACAAATGGAACCTGAATTTTGGGACAAAAACCCATACAAGGCAATTACTAAAGTTTTCCCACCAGGATTTCATTTCAGACCATATCAGGCTAATAAAACCAGGCAGTTTTATGAGTTTATCTTAGTGGATTCAGATTCTGTTTCCATTAAACACTACAAAGACCACAAAGATCCGTCAGTTACAACCCATTCGACAATCCAAATCCTGAAAGTCTTAACTCCAAAGGCTTTTGGAAAAAATTTAAATTCTTATAAAAAGTTTTCCCAACCATTTGATCCAGTAGGATATAATTATTGGGATTACATTGACGCATGGACAAGAACTTTCTGGTTCCAAAATAAACTTAACCGACATTCTTGGTTAATATATTTTAAAAAGAATCAGAATTATGACTTTCCAAATTGGTTCCTCCAATGGTGGGATTATTTTGGGCCAATTGAAGAAATCCTTCCCACACCTGTCAAAGAAGGATACAAAATTTACAAAGGCAGGTATCTGCGAGAATCAAGAATTCCAGCAGATCTTAAATACTTCTCTGACTTTGCCCTAGCATGGGTATTCTCATGGCAATACAGATATGGCAAGACAGAAAATGAAGACACTCTCCCTCTGTTGCACAGGTATTCCTTTGTAAAATGGTGGAACCAATTCAATGCGGAACATGCCGGACCAGATGGAGTTGCTGAATATTTTGGGAAAAATCCCAAACTATTAAATCTAGCAGACCCAGCAACATTTCAATTCCTTAATCAAAAATCCAAAATTGCAGCATTCTTATCAGGGTGCGATACCAAAGAAAAAATGAAGAAAAATCTTCAAGATGTTCTCCTGCTATTGCGACACATGGAACACCGGATGTAGGATTCAAGAGATTCGGAGGCAACACAATCCGGTATGCAGCAGGACCTATTCTACTCAGCACTTCGAACGGCCTACTAAACTTAGGAGATAGCTTCCGGGATTTCAAGGCTCTCCCAACTTCAGTTGCAGGTGAGACCTTCAGAAACACATGGTCCCCCACCTGGAATTCCAACGGCTTTCTCCTCTTGTCATGATAACTCTTTTGGCGATCTTGGGCGGCTTTCATCTTCTCTCTGATCATTTTGATATGCTCTTCTGCCTTTGGATCATATCCGGCACACACAGAGTCGCATGTTCGGTTTCATACCAACACAACGGGGTTCTGCATCTCCGCCTATACAAGGCCTCAAACGGTGCCATTCCAATGCTAGCATGGTAATTGTTGTTGTACGTGAATTCCACCAGCGGAAGGCACTCTTCCCAAGTCCCCTGCTGCTCGAGCACACAAGTCCTCTAGAGATTGGATGGTCCACTCTGTCTGGCCGTCAGTTTGTGGGTGATAAGTCGAGCTCAGTCTCAACTTAGTCCCCAACGCCCGTTGCAAGCTCTCCCAAAACCTTGAGGTAAACCTTGGATATCTATCTGACACCACATTAGTCGGCACTCCATGTAGCCTGACTATCTCCTGCACATACAACTCCGCAAGTCGCTCCAATTTATGCTTCATGTTGATCGGGAGAAAGTGTGCAACTTTAGTCAACCGATCCACTATCACCTAGATCACATCATGATTGTTCCTGGTCTTAGGCAACCCAGAAACAAAGTCTATGGTGATACTATCCCATTTCCACACAGGGATCTCCAACGGTTGCAACAACCCAGGTAGACGTTGATGCTCTACCTTTGCCTTCAGGCAAGTTAGGCATTTAGCCACATATTCGGCCACATTTCTTTTCATTCCATTCCACCAAAAGCTCTTTCAGAAGTTCTGATACATTTTAGTTGCACTGGGGTGAAAGCTCATCCTGCTTTTATGTGCTTCCTCAAGCACCATCCGTCTCAGCTCATCCACTTGAGGAATACACACTCGGTTCTGGAACTTAACCACCCCATTCTCATCACGGTGGAACTCCAAGTCCTTTCCCTTATCCTTCTGTCTCATCATGTCCTGCAGGAAGACATCTATTTGCTGAGCATCTCGGACGTACACTAAAAAGTCGTTATGAATCGTCGTCGCTCCGAGGTATAAACTCCCCGGTCTTACTTCCATGGCTAAGTTCATTTCTCGAAATTCCTCAATTAACTCCATTTCTTTCACCATTATTGCTGCCACGTGCAATGATTTCCTACTCAACGCATCAGCTACCACATTTTCCTTGCCAGAGTGGTAAGACAATGTGAAGTCATAGTCCTTGAGAAATTCCATCCACCTCCTCTATCGCATATTCAGCCCCCTTTGGTCAAACAAGTATTTCAAGCTTTTGTGGTCATTGAATACCTCAAACCTCGCCCCATATAGGTAATGCCTCTATACCTTAAGGGCAAAAACTACCGCGACTAACTCCAGATCATGTGTCAGATAGTTTACTTCACGCGGGCGCAACTGTCTCGAGACATAGGCGACCACTCGCCCGTCTTGCATCAAAACACAACCAAGTCCTTGCTCGGATGCATCACAATACACATCAAATTTCCGCTTCGGGTCGGGTAGAGCCAACACTAGGGCCAAGGTCAGCCTTATCTTCAGCTGTAAGAAACTAGCTTCACACCCCTTGGTCCACTTGAACTCCTTTCCTTTACCGATCAGCTTCGTTAAAAGCAACGCTATCTTAGAAAATTCCTAAATGAATTTTCTATAATAGCCTGCCAATCCGAGGAAACTGCGCACTTCTGTCACATTCGTCGGCCTCGGCCACTCAGCCACTGCTTCCACTTTTGCAGGGTCTACCATGATTCCTTCCTTCGACACCACATGCTGTAGAAACTAGATTTTTGACAACCAGAATTCACGCTTAAAAAACTTTGCATATAGTTGCCTCTCTCTCAGAATTTGCAAAACAATCCTCAAGTGCTCGGCGTGCTCTTCTTGAGTCTTTGAATAAATTAGGATGTCGTCAATGAACACCACTACAAACTTATCCAAAAACTCATGGAAGATCCTGTTCATGTAGTCCATGAACACTGCAGGCGCATTGGTCACCCCAAACGGCATCACCAAATACTCATAGTGACCATACTGCGTCTTGAACACCGTCTTAGGGACATTTGCATCCTTTACTTGGATTTGATGGTATCTCGATCTCAAATCAATCTTCAAAAACACTGCTACTCCCCTTAATTTTTGTATCAAATCATCGATCCTCGGGAGTAGATACTTGTTCTTGACTGTTACCTTGTTCAACTGCCGATAATCTACACACATCCTCATGCTTCCATCTTTCTTCTTAACCAAGAGCACTGGTGCTCCCCACGGTGACACACTCGATCTCACAAACTGTTTCTGCAATAGATCTTTTACTTGCTTCTTGACCTCTGCCAATTCCATCGGTGACATCCTATAAGGCGCCACTAAAATTGGGCTTGCTCTCGAAATAAGGTTGATAGAAAACTCTATCTCCCTCTCAGGCGGTAGCTCAAAAACATCTTCGGGAAAAACCTCCAAGAAATCCCTCACCACTGAAATATACTCCGGCTCCACCACACCTTCTGCTTCTATTGAGAATAGAACCATGAAAACCTTGGCGTTTACCATGTTCTCCCACGCTCCCTGGCTCATAAGCCTTGGAACCTCTGTCGTTGTCGCACCGAAGATCAAAGTCTTCTCCCTACAGTCCAACAACACATGGTTGACAGCAAGCCAATTCATTCCCAGAATTGCATCCAGTTGATAAAGAGGTAAACAAATTAAGTCCACCTCGAACTCTCTACCATGTACCATTATCGAACACCCCAGGCATACCCATGACGTCACAACCGGCTTACCCGTAGGGGTAGTCACCACAACGTTACACGACAATTCAGTCACATACAAGCCCAAACTCTTTATACAGTCCATAGACATAAAAGAGTGCGTAGAACTCGAATCAAACAGCACATCAAGCAATCAACCCTTAATAATGCATTTACCTCGGATCAGCTTTTTTTACTGTGAAGCCTCTGCCCCACTCATCACAAAGACTCGACTAGGAATGCTCGGCTTCTGCCCCGTACTTGGCCCCGTACTTCCTCTTGATTCCGGCCTCTAAGCCGCACTTGCACTACCGCTCCTCTTAGCGGCCCAGCACTCATTGGCAATGTGCCCCGACTTCCCACAATTGTTGCAAGTTATCCTCGGCTGTGGGTAGTCCTTCACCATGTGTGGCCTTCCACACCTGAAGCATTTAAGCGGTCCTTTGAAGGAACTCGATCCTGAACCACTCCCACTACTCTTTTCTGGAGATGAACTCCCTTGAGACTGAGAGCTATTTGATCCCGAGTACGGTCCCCTTGAGCTCCCCTAGTATCCACCGTCTTCCCTCTTGAGTTAGCTTCAAAAATTCTGCTCTTGCTCACCAAAGTGGGCAAATCTATCAGCTGAAACACACTGACCGCAACTCGAATGTCTGGCCTCAGTCCATGCTCAAACTGAGCACACAGATCCTTCTCTCCATCACCATGTTGATAATGAGGCCAGTATTTTATCAACTCTTGGAATTTAGCCGCATACTCTCCCACAGTCACACTTCCCTGCTTCAGCTTAAGGAACTCCCTAGCTTTCTGCTTCCTTAGGTCTCGGGGAAAGTAGTTCCCCAAGAAGATGGTCTTGAATGCTTTCCACTGGATATAGCCATCTTCCTGTGGCAGGGTCCGACCGGCAAACCTCCACCAGTCCTCAGCCTCCCCACACAGCAAATAAGTAGCATAGGTAACGTTGTTCTCCTCACGACACCCCATTGCATTGAAGATCTTCTCCACATTGGCCACCCATCTTTTGGCTCTCTCGGGATTGAATCCACCCTCAAACCTTGGAGGATCATGCCTAGTGAAGGCAGACAACCCTCGATACTCAGTCGGCTCTACGCCTTGATTATGCATCATGACTTCCAGAATCTGTGTCATGCGTTCCATGAGGTCATTAGTGCCTCTAGCTCCTCTACCTCTACCAGACATATTCAATCTAGCTACAACAAGTCAGCAATCACATTCCAGCACATTAGATCAATTTATACATTATAATTCAGGCAAACAAAACAATCAACACTTATCTTGGACGCTTCAGCTCGATACCCCAGTCCAATTTGGATGAACTGCTCTGATACCAAAATTGTAACACCTTAAATTTAATTTTCAATAAATAAGGGATTTCATAAATTTCTGAAATAATAAAACTTCCATTTTTAATCAAAGTTTCATCAAACGTTTAAAATAAAGAAAGGGGTTACAAAATTCATCAAACAGTTGCTACAGAACTTATTCAAATACAACAGTTTTCAAAATAATATCCTAAGTCCTATAGCAGTTCCATCCACCCCTTTTACTGAGTCTGGTGCTGATCATCTTGATTACCTGAAAAATGAATGTAAGGGTGAGTACTCTACACTACAAAAAAAAAAAAAACACACACACAGTCAGCATAGAGTCTCACCTCCAGCACATTTCCAATACAGTAAGCAAATACAACCATAGACAGCATTATCACAAAACTTATGTCAATTTAACACCGATGCACTCACGACATCAGCAGCACTTCACATCCATAAATACAATTCATAAACCCGTGCATACGTACGCCAGCCACACTCACTGTGGTATTGTGATCACAGATTTACACTATGAATAGTCGTCGGTTACCCCCGCCTCACGGATACCACGTGGGCAGCCACGGGTCGCTTAGCAAAGATAGTGGTTAGAGGTCTAGTCAGGAAGAGAGTGTGTGGCCCGTGGTGCACTCGTTCCACAGTCGGTGTCACTACCACTCTTTTTCTCCAAGGTATTTCTACCGTCCTTATCTTCCACACCCCTAATGTATCGCTGAACCATTCACAGCACATTACAACGGCGCTAACACGCCCATTCACACGTATTCCATTCACGTATACAATGATCATACTTACACACAACACACAGCCCACATTGCATTCAAATACACGGCACTAGGCCCACATTCATTTAACATCTCACGACATGTAGCCAATACTCATTTATATTACACGACCCTCGAGCCCACATTTGTTCACAATATCATTAATTCACCAATCAATGGCATTCCATCACACACAATCACTCCCACGGGGCCTAACTATTCTAGCACACATCGCATTACACCCCAATTTCCATTCAACATAAAATTTCTACTCCTTATCTCAGCCACATTGCATTAATCAACAAAACACACAAGATATATAACACATTGAGATAGGGTAGAGTCCCCCCTTACCTTGGATTGAAGACCCACACTCGGATTCGAACACGGATGTGCTCCCTACACAAATTTTGGCCTAAAACACATGGAAGAATTCCATAAGAATCCAAGGAAACCCAAAAACAGAGAAAAGGAGATGAGAAACGAAACCCTAACCATTAAAACTCACCTCCAAGCATTCTCCACGCGGATTCAGCCCTCAATCAAGCTCACAAACGGCTTTGGAGGCAATTTAATCGGTGAAAAAGTATTTGGGAACGAGAGGATCAAAAGGGATTTCGAAGGGAGAGGGAGAAATAACCCTCCACAAACCTTAACCCCCTTTAAATCCTTTTCTGGTCGCGACACTTTTGCTACAGCGAGATATTCTCGCTGCAATGAAAATCTCAGACGAAACTGCACCGTAGTTTCTGCAAAATCTCGCTACAGCGAAACTGCACCCAGAAATGCATCCCAAACTGTCGCTCTGTCGCTACAGCGAGACGTCTCTCACCACAGCGAAAAGGCGACAGTTTCAGTCTTTCCTCCCAGGGCCCTCTCGCTACAACGAGAATTCTCTCACTGTAGCGGGAATAGCCCAGAATTACTCCCTGCACTTAGGCACTTAGCCCATTTCATCCTTATTCAGTCATGCATACACACATTCATATACTTAATACACATAAATATCATTATCAAGTAAATCAACATACATATATTTATGCATTTAGATTTATATAAATAACAAAAATTAATATTACAAAATTCGGGGCTTTACATTATGTTTTTTAAATCTTAGTGGAATACTTTCCATTCTTTTATTTTTAAGTTAGTATAAGAGGTGTTTCAAAAGCCTCATCTTATTAAAATAGTTAACCAAATAGTTATTTCTTTAATTTCTAAGATTGAGTATCTTGAATTTGTCCATCAATATAGACTTATTTCTTTTTTTAATGTAAGCTATAAAATTGTTCCTAAAATTTTGGCAGATAAATTAAAAGGATTCCTATATTATTTAATTTATGATAATCAAATGAGTTTTAGTCTAACTAAGCAAGAGATTGATAATGTATTATAGATGAGGTAGTTCACTCTTTTAAAAACCTTAAGAGACAAGCAAAATTTATGATTTAAAAACTTGACTTGAAAATAGTCTATGATAAGTTGAACTAGAACTTTGTTAAAGATACCCTATTCTTGGTAGGTTATGATCTCATTTATCAATGTATTTCCTCTTCAGTTAATTGGAATGGTACACACACAAATATTTTTCCCCTTCTAGAGGAATTTGGTAAGGGAATCTTATTTTCCTTTATTTATTTGTGTTATTTATTAAAAAATTGACTCATTGTATTAAGAATGAGGTTGAATTTAGGGATTTGATTTCTTTTTCTTTTAGTTTAAATAGCCCTAAAATTTTCTATCTCTTTTTACATATGATACTTCTTAATTATCAAAGTTTCTATTGACCAAGTCACTAAAATTAATCATGTTTTAGATAAATCTAATATTTCTTTCTTTGATAATATTGATGATATGTTAACCAATAAGATTATTGTCATTTTAGATATAAGTAAGTCACAAAGTTTAATTTCTACTTAGGTTTTAGATTGAGAAACCTATTATTGTGGGTAAAATATCAAATAATTGAAAAGTTATGACCTATATCTGACCTAGGTTCTATAGATACCTAGATTGGAATGCAAGAGATGGGATGTGTACAAAATATAATTGTGTTCTTGAGTTTGATAATTTTAGAAATTGTTGTTTTTCTAATATCTAAGACTAGTATTGATTTTCCTGTCAACATTTTTGCTTCCTCTAAAAATTGGTGGGATTGAGATAGTTTTATATCTTTCTTGCCTCCTTAAAATTGTAATAAATAGCTACTATAAGTTTTTTTAGAAATAGGAAAAGGAATGATATTATTGTGTGACCTCTAACTATGAATAAGAAGTTTTTTTTTTTAAATTAAATCTACCTATTACTTACTGTATTTGGATAAATTTCTTACTAAGTAGAAGAATGATTGTTTTAAAGTAGTATAGAAATGACCTAGTCCTCCAAAAATCAAATTGTTTCTTTAAAAAATTGTTCATGAAAAATTATTAACAAATAAAAAAAAATCTTATAGAAGTATCTTAGAAAATGATTAGTGTCGTGGTACTTAGTATTTTGTTGCACGTGAAACTCATGTCTTAAAAGATTATTTTTATGGCTTTGTTGCTGAAAGCTAATTGATACAAATTTTTCAGTTCTAGCTTTAGTAATTGGTTTACTTTTAATATGTCTCAAAATAAAACTAATTACCTTAAAAGTTGGAACTTGATTTTTGGTATATTGGCCTGAAAAATATAATTAATAGAAAATTTTTTTTCTTTTAATAAAAAAGTTGTTTTCCCCTTTATTTTGGTATCTCAATCTATATTATATGCTTCTTACGTGGTCTCTTCTTGTAGAGGTTCGGGCTCAAACTTGTCCACTGACTTGTAGGAATTTGTAGTTGTGAAATGGATCTCCCCTTCTCTAGTCAGTGTTTGAGAGGAGCAACCTGTGGAAGTTTGGTTTGGGGTGCAAATAGAGATTTTATAGGATTTGTGTGTAAGGTGGGACTTTGCTCTCTCTCGGATGCAAAACTATGAGATGTTTTAATTGGTATTTATCTAATTAAAATTAAGGATTTTTTAATGTGATTTTAAAAATTAATTCTAGGAATTCTCTCCAAATTATTTGAAATTCCAAATTTATGATGGTTATTTTCCTCATTTGATTAATAGTATTCAATAACTTTTGCAAGAAATGTTTTTATCCATTGTAATTATATGTATTGTAAAGCTAACCATTATGTGAATACATTATTTCATATGACTCAATGCTTCTTTTGATTGTAATTTTTTTGACATGATCCCTCTTCCCTTATTCCTCATCTAGGAAAGATAATTTGAGTATTAATTTCCCTAGGTCTTTAATAAATCCATATTTTATCATAATTTTTAGTATAATTTTGTTAATAAATAAGTAGTAAAGTGCTAAGTAAACTTGAAAATATCATAAAAATTGCATTAATATTCATAATTGTGTAAATAGTTTTGATTTTAAGATTTTTAGTCCAATTCTGAACAATTTAACTTAAAAGTGACTTAATCTTTGTGCAGAAGCTTGAGCTGAGAATTTGAGTTGAAGATTGAAGTGAAGAAAGTAGAGAAATTGAGCTTAAAAGATGAAGAATCAAGTGTTATATGAAGGGTGTAATCATTCTGAGTACATAGAGTGAATACTTTGAAGAAAGAAATTCATGAAGATCAAGAAAGTAGCTATTTCAAGTGTTCAAAGTAGATACGCAATTGAGTGCGTAGCCACTTCAAGTGTTCAAAGTAGCTACGCCCAAGGCTAATTTAGAACTGCACAATGCGCGTAGCTACTTCAAGTGATCAGAGTAGCTACGCAATTGAGCGCGTAGCTACTTCAAGTGCCCAGAGTAGCTACATAGTCAGCGCATAGCCACTTCAAGTACTCAGAGTAGTTACGCAAAAATAACAGAATTTTAAATATCACTTATAAGTGTCAACTTTGGACGATTGGAGTTCTTAAATCAGTTTTAGAAGCTTCTAAAAGACCTTTGGTGCTATATTTCTCAGAGATTAACATGTAGAAAGGAAAAAGGTGGGAAAAACCATATAAATAGAAGTTAGAGGTTCAAAAAATGGGACTTTGGTTCATTTTTGTTATTTTTCACTTTGTAACTGTTTTAACTTCCAAGGGAAGTCAGAGAGAGAGAGAGATTGAGAGCGACTTTCAAGCTTCATTTCTAGAGGAATCAGAGTGAAGATTGAGTCTTTGAAGATGTTCTTCTGCTTCTTGTTTTCTTCTTCTCTTCTCTTTTCTTCATTATAATGTTGTTCTAAACCTTTTTGGTTAGGGATCTATGGATCCAGATTTGATGTTGTGATGTAATTGTGGATTGAATTTTGAGATTTTAATTGAATTGAGTATGTGATTCTGTTTTTAATGCAGTTGTGAACTAATCCTTCATTCAATTGAATTTAGAGGAATTTTCATCGATAGAAATTGAGTTTATTTCTCATATCTGAATCATATGCCTAAGTTATTGAGATCTTAGGAATAAGTATCATGATCTAGTAATCCTATAGTTTCCAGAACTTAATGCAATATTTGATTGAATTTCACCTAAGGAATTAGGGAGGTTTAATTAGGTATTAGGATTAATGAGATAAGGAATTGTCCTTTGGTTAAAGAAGTGAAATTGATTATTAATCAATTAAAATTCTTAAGAGTTCAGAACATGATTACATTGTAATTGAAAATCTGGTGAAGTGATTCCTAACTATTTTCCATATAGTATTCTTAATACAAAATTCATATTATGTTTTTAGAGCAAGTTTATTACCTTTTATTGTTTTTATTTCTTACTTTTACATGTTACAAACCTCTTAAATAAATTATTTTGCTCAACTAATTGTTAAATTGTGAAATGGTAATTGAAATAAGATCTTTGTTAACGATACTTAGGACTCATATTGAATTTTAAATTTTATTACTTGTTATAACTACCTAATAGATTTGCTAGTTAGTTTTCTAATTTTGTAACAGTCTTGTAATTAAACTTGTATTTAGGTTGTTAGCTCAGTTGATTAAGCAAATAAATAATATAGTACTTATCATTTAGATTGATTTAATAATAATATAGACAAGCCAAACCACTGTCAAATTTCATTTTTTTAAACTTTCAAATTAACTTGTTTTTATTTTCTAATTAATTTAACGGTTTTGAGTTTTTCATAAAATAATTTAACTTACTAAAAAATATTAAAACATATTTTTTATTGTCGTCAAAATTATTTGGAATTGACGGAAGCGAACGAGGATGGGAATGATTCTTACAACCACGGAAACAAATCGGTGTTGGAAGGTTTAAAGCCCTAATTCGGCCGTTAGTTACACTTTCCCTGTACTAAAAAAATTGAAACAAACGAAGAAACGAATCAGGTACGCACAAATCTAATCCTCATCTCATCAATTTCTAAACCCTGTGCTTCCTTTGCCCGCCAAACTCCAACCACCTTCGCATTCCTCCCTTCTCTTTCACATTTGCGTTTTCTTTACCTTTTCCAACTCTGAACCGTACGAACCTCATTTTTCCTCTAATTTGGTTTCACTGCCACTGTTTCTCCCAATTAGTACTTTGGTGACGAGTTTTCAACCATTTTGTTTTGTTTTAAATAAACAGATTTTCCAGTTTTCCTATACGATTTCACTTGTTATGAGAAACCTGCGAAGTTGTGATTGTTCCGCAGTTTTGAGAACCGAACTTAAACAATGTGAAAAGGAAATTTAATGTTATTGTTGAGTTTTTCTTGAGCTTATGGTTGATTGCTGGTATATTACTTATTAATGAATAATTAGGAGTAGCACAATGTGTTGAGTGTGGAAGAAGAGCATTTTTATCGATGGCAGAATGTGTGGCTTCCCCATTTAGTGTTAAGCTACATATGCTGAGAAGGCCTGTTAGAGAGAGAGGCTTCTCGGGTACAAATTTCAAGGCTGTTCAAAGGTTTAGTTCCTCTTAATTATATTATTGTTGTTTTTTTTTTCTTCTTTTTTTGTACTTTTTCTTTTCTTCTTCTTCTTCTTCTTCTTCTTCTTCTTCTTCTTCTTCTTCTTCTTTATAAATGTGACTAGCTATAAATCTTCTTTTTCCTCCCTCCGGCACTCAAAGGAGACACTGGAATGATAATTCTGGAGAATTCGCATATAGTAAATACTGACTATTTATGAAATAGTGAAAACTGCTGAAAATGATGAACTATTGAACCTTTTTGTATTATTTTCGTTCTTGTTGGAATATACCTGAATGTTGTGATTTTGTTTTTTTACGTGAAGTGGGCTTTGGTGGATTACAGACTAAGGGAGTTTTGTTTTTCTGGACGTATTAAACATGAAGAGGCACATACTATATGGGTGCAAAATAGAAAATTCAACATTTTTTATGCGAGGAAAACATTTATTTTTTATCACTCAATAAAAAATATAAATTAATTATAAAAACTTAGGTAAAAAAAAATGCAAACTGTTTCTTTGATGGACAATAGAGCTTAATAAAACTGCACCGGTTGATGGCAGTTGAAACTAACGTGTGTAATGGGTTTTAGTTTTGTGAAATCACCTTCTGTTATTTGTTGTTTGGTATTTATGACTAGTGTATCTATAGTCTTTTAAAAGTGAATGCCAAATATTGCAATCCGACTTTTTATTTGTATAGATAGAATCATAGTTCTGTTCGTAGAAACCATGATTCCATTTCTTTGCATTGTTTGTTTCCTTTAGTAATATTCTAAATACATGCTGCATTGATGGTTCTGCTAATTCACCTGTTTTAATTATATGTAATGTTGATTGATTGGAAGTATCAGTTTCCTTAATACAGTTGGCAAGTTCCTTGTTGCTTTTCATGCCTGCTATTATGAATTTGGGAGTATGATTTTTCAATATTTACTTCTTTTTCAGAAAGTATTCTGGAAGTGGATGTAACCTTCTTCACTTCTCTACATTGAAGACATTTGAGCTGAGTGTACTAGGGGCCACATATTCAAAATTTAGTCGTTGTCGTCAGGCAATTCCATTAGATTGCATTGGTTTAGGGGCTTTGGTTGACTTTGATGGTGCAGCAGCTTCTGATTTGGTTCCAGTTGTTGATCAGGTGCTTTTGATGGGCAGTATATTTCTCACTTATATGGCTGGAGTTATTCCTGTTGAGAAATCTTATTCCAGCTATCAAAAGACCAATTCTGATAAAAATGTGTTTCCTGAAACCTCAGGCAATTCTGGTAGGTAAGGGTAAGCATGTCAAAATGTCAAGGTTGAGTTGTTTTTATCATTTTAAATGGATGAATAATTTGTTTGGTATTTGGAGACAGCACTATGATTTATTTCTCTAACTACTTGAGTGCTGTTGTCTCTTTTGCAGTTCAGTGAAGCAAAATTATGGAATAGATTCGAAGTATATATTCAATGTGGTGAGAGGGAAACTTTTGAATTCTCTAAATGCTTTAGAGTACAAGGCTTATTCTGGAGACATCATCCTTCAATCTGCAAAGAGACCCTTGAGCTTAAGTGCTGTTGCAAAGGGTCCAAAGTTGAGGTTGCTTTGGGCTGCTTTTCAGCAAGTTGAGGAAGAGGCAGGGATTGTCTTTATTTTCCCCTTTCAATATTGTCATATGCATATATTATGTTATTTTGGTATAATCTGAAATCTGAAATTTTGACAAATTGGAATGAGCATTGGATCTGTTCTAATTAATTCTTGAAACATGTTCTCTTGCTAAATATATCTCAGATACCTTGTTTTCTTGTTGAGATACAGCATTCAAGAGTCTGAATAAGACTAATATGAGAGAGATGTTTCTTCTTTGCAAATTTATTTGAATTAAATCTTAGAGAATGCCATGTAAGTATTTTTGCTAACACTCGAACAACTCAATGAGTACATTACTTGCTTCCTCTAATGTGAAGATGGACAACCAATTTTTAACTTAACTATGAGACTTGACAATTAATATGCTCTCTTGGAAGTAAATTTGAGTCCCAAGTATGATTCTCTATACATTTTATTGCTAATCTCTTCTCTTTATAACTTATTTCCGAACTAATAAATGCATGCCTATGTGATTCAGTAGCTGTATAACATTTTTCCAATAATTTTGGTACTGTTATCAATTATTTTAAATGTTATTTCCCAGGTTAATAATATCTCAAGCATTTCCAGATCTGTTGGTATGGATGGTCTCTTTGGAATACTTTCTAAAGTTATCCAAAGATCTTGTCATTCTATTTGTGCTACGTGGCTGGAAAAGGAATTTGTCCTTCTAAATGGCAATGCTGACAAGGTATTTCTAAAAGTAAAATGTATCTCTCAAGACTCAACTTATACCCTTACTGCCAGTACATATGCCCTTACCAAAAGTGCATTTGAATAAAATATTGGTCTAGGTTGCATGAATATGGGTACAACAAAATTTCCAAAACTAAAATAGGGGTGCAGGATGATATATTATATAGAAATATAAAAACATAAGCAATATAACAACAATAACCAAGCTTTATTCTATTAGGTGAGGTTGGCTATGTGAATCACACGACGCCGGTCAAAATCAAATTTTTAGAAATATTATTAATTAAAAAATCTCTTTTAATAACCTCATCTAAGGTTCTTGAGTCTCCTTTTTCCCCCTTTTTACTAAACTAAAAATCATGGCATCCATTCTCCTCACTAGTGTTAAAGTCAGAATATGTGACCAAACCACCTTAAACAATTTTCAGTCATGTTTTTTACTATAGGTGCTATTCCAATGTTCTCACGTATGTTATCATTTCTTATCCTATCCTTTCTTGTGTGATTACTCATTTGCTTTAACATTTTTATTTTTGTCATTCTCACTTTTTTTCTTGTATTGTTTCTTTAAGGCCTAACATTCACTACCGTGTAAAATAGCTGGTCGTATTGGAGTACAATAAGACTTTCTTTTCATCTTGATAGATATTTTATCTCAAATAACTCTTGATGTCTTTCTTCACTTTAATAATCCAACTTGTATTGTATGAGTAAACATATTCATTAATTTTCCAATCATTTTGTAAAATTGATCATAAGCACTTGAACTTGAGAATTTTTGGTATAATATTATTTCCAATTTTACCTTCTAATGCAAATTTTTATCTTGTTTTTTTGGCTAAACTTTCAATACATATATGTTATCTTACTTCTACTTAAGTGAAAACTTTTAAATTCTATAGTTTTCTTCCATAACTTAAGTTTAACATTAATTTCTTCTTTTAAATCGTCAACCTATACTTTGTGATCTGTAAAGAGCAAATGTGCTTGGACATAATTTTTTGTATGTCACTTTTAAGCACATGTAAAAATAAATTAAACAAGTAAGGACTCAAAGTAGAGCCTTAATTTGATGTAAACCTATCCTTATTAGAAAAGTTTTAGATATGCCTCCAGAAGGTCTTATAGACATAATTACTGCTTCATACATATCTTGTATAGCTCGAATATATATTATATGAACCTTTTTTTTTTTTCATCTCAAACCTTTCATTAACACTTCTCTTTGTATAAGGTCATAAGTTTTTTTAAGTTAATAAAAACCATGTCTAAGTCATTTTTTTTATAGCAATAATTTTTCATCATCTTTTGTAAAAGATATATAGCTTTTGTTATGGACCTTCTTAGCATAAAATCAAATTGATTTTTCGCACTTCTAGTTTCATCCTGTAGTTTATGGTCAATAACTTTTTCCTACAACTTCATAGTGTATCTCATAAGTTTAATCCCTTTATAAATCTTCCAATCTTAGATATCATCCTTGTTCTTGTATATAGGAATAAAAGTATTTTTCCTCCATTTGACATTTTTAGATCTCAAAATCTTATTAAAGAGTTTAGTGAGTCACTTAAGTCTTTGTTTTTTTCCAAAATCTTTCAAATTTCAATAGGATTATTATTGGTGTCAACTGCTTTACGATAGTCCATCCTCTTTAGAACTTCCTTTACTTCTCTAACTCAAATTCTACATTAATATGTCAAATTTAGGTCATTTGCTTGCTCTTCTAATCCTACTATATTTTCATTTGCACCTTCTTCGTCCCTAAAAAATTTATAGAAATATTTCTTCTATTTGTCTTAAATGTCTTGATTTGAGTCAAATGTTTTTTTCTTCATTCTTAATACATCTAACTTGATCTAAATCTTTTAATTTTTTTCTTTTTAATGTTTGACAAACTTATAAATCTTTCTTTTACCATAGTTTCTTCCAAGATCTTGATAGAATTTTTCAAAAACCTTAGAACATGTTTCACTCACTGCTTTTTCTTGTCTCATTTTTTGCATTGCAATTCGTTGCTCAATTTTCCGCATTGTTGAATGTATGCAAAATTTTAAAACATATTCTTTTTTATCTTTAATTTTCTCTTACACACTTTTATTTTACCACCATGATTCCTTGTTTTTTGGTCTAAGACCCTTAGACTCATCTAAAATTTTCTTGGCAACTTTCTTGACCTTCATAACTATTTTGTCTTAAATGATGTTAGCACTACTTTGTACATCACAACTACCCTCTTCTACTAACTACTTCTAGAAGTCCAACTGTTTCTCACTTTTAAGTAGCCACTACTTAATTCTTGGAAGAATAACTTGTCAAATTTTTTGTTTATCTGTCTTAAAATGAACATGAAGGACCAAGATCCTATGTTATGTATTAAGGCTGTTTCCTAGAATCACTTTACAATCCTTACAAATTCTTTTGTCTAGATTCCTTTCCAAAAAGAAATCTATTTGCAACCTTGAGACCTCACTCTTGAAAGTAATAAGATGCTCCTCCCTCTTCTTAAAACAAATGTTCATAATCTTAAAGTCGTAGGTTGTTGAGAAATTAATAATAGATTGTCCTTCTTTATTTAACTCTACAAAACCAAACCACCATGAACCCTTGTAAATTGTCTTGCCTCACAACCAACATGACCATTCAACCCCTCTAAATTCTCCCAAAAACTTTGTTATCAAAAGAGTTTCCGAGCCAACTTGTGGAGCATTCGCACTAAGGTTATTAAGAGTGTCTTGTGTAACCAATAATTTTAAGAACATAATCCTGACTCGAATCCTTCTAATCTCTAACACATTCTTTTTCTAAGTATTATTATTCACAATTATGCGTACTCCATTATTTCCTTTAACTTTTCTCGTATACCAAATTTTGAAACTTTAGTATCAAGCCCCATAACATTATCTCTATCCCATTTTGTTTCTTGAAGGAACGCAAGCTTAATCTTTCTATGAATTAGTGTCCACCACTTCCAACAACGTTCCTATCAATTACCAATATTCCATGAACCAAACCGAAACATGCTTTCTTGAACTAAGTTCTTTATCCACATTTGTCTAGCCAAACTTTAGGACCTTGCTCATTAAACACTACATCTGGGCATTGATGCAATCGCTCCAGCTCATTTGACATTGTACTTGAGCCATGCAGCGTATTACTTTTGGGTAGCGACCTAGCCCTAGCACAATATCGTCATGAGTAATCCATATAAAAGGTTTCGACAAGTTTTATGATGGTTGCCAAAGGCATAACACAACCCTTCTCCTTTACCCAGGCTTGGGATCGACAATGGGGCCTTAGGTGGAATTATAAAAATATAAGCAATAATGTAATTAAATCATAAGATAAATACTATTTCCATAATTTTCTAATTTTAGGTTTTCAACAAAATTCCATAAAGTATATCAACTAAGCTGGTTTAGCTCTTGTGAAAGTCAATGGTGTACTTTAGACAGAAAAGTGAAGAATTATAACCTTCGATTAGAAAATTAGTAGTTGAGATTGTGATAACATGCATGTATAAATTCATGAAGTAAAAATATGTTGCATTGATTTTCCAATCAACAACTATAATTTTGTACTTTTCTCTCTAATATGCTTACTTTTAGAGGAGCTGAATTCCAAGTTAGGAAAGATGCCTAATGTGGGCTGCACAAGATCTTTGGATGACAAAGCAATTTCTTTAATTTTGGTAGTGTTTGACTTAACCTTTTTTGGGCTTTCCTTTTCCTTGAAAGGAGAAGTCAGGCCAATTACAATTATAGGAAAGCTCTTAAACATAAAAGTAGTTCTTTTTTAAACTAACAAATGCTCAAAAGTAGAGCTTCTATAGAAGGTAACTGGAGGTGCTTCTACTTGTAGAAGGAACTAAGCCTGAGAAAGCTGACACTACCTTAGTAGCAAACCAAACAAAGTAGGAAAACACAATTTTACTTGGATTGCGTAATTGAGTGATATAGGCTCATTGTAAAGCTTGAACAAGGTGTATTGATGGGGAAAATTTGAAAAAATTGTATTGGGTATGCATCCATCTGTTTTAATAAATTGCTATACCAAATACATTCATGATATGGCAAGGCAATCATATAGGAGTACCCAGGCTTCATAGGTCCTGATTTTACTTCCTTGACATTATTGTTAGGAAATTGCTTCTATGATACTTGAAAAAGTGAAAAGAGATAGCACAATTGTACAGAGCATTACAAGGTCTGGCAAGAAAGATCTGTATTCAGAATTACTTTGGTATCTTACTTTTGGTTCGCTCAGGTAAAGTCAGCATTTTTTTTTCTTTACATATTGTGATATTTCCTTTCCACTTTTGGTTTCTTTTGTGTTTCTGTTTTTAATGTAATTTCATTCCATGCAATGAAGCATGGATGCTTCAAATGATTTGAGTGTGCATGCTCAATACTCATCCTGGTTGTCCCTTGCCATTTAGTTTCCTTTGCACAATCTTTAAATTCTAATCAACATGTATTTTCTTATTTATCTGATCAGTAGCTCAGTGGTTTTTTCAACTAAGTAACATGAATGCTAGTTTAGGTGAGTTGCCAATAGGCACAAAATTTGTAGGTTAGTTTTCTTACTAGGAAACCTGTCCTGCTAGTGTGAGGGCTTCTGTTGGTTTTGTCATTAAGTTTGATTTTTCTATCATTTCTTATTTACCATTGGTTTTTGACCAATCTTAATAGCATAATGTGATCCATGTAGCTGACATCGACCTACTGAGATAAGACTTGGTTGCTGTTGTTTCTTATTTACCATGGATTCATAACCAACAAAACGAAAGATTTTGGTTTCATATCCTCTTTCCTTGTACTGAAACATGTTTTAAGATGAATAAAGAGGATAAGAATGTTTGTCTGGTGGTATATCTGATGTATGGGCCACTTCATGATTTCTAAAATCCTAGATTTACAGATTTGGCATTGTTCACAAAGAAAAACTTGTTTCGGATTAATCTTTGTCAATATAGGTGTAGCTAACCTTTCATTAATTTTGTTTGATTTTAGCATATATTATGAGTCCATGACCATGTCATATTTTTCTTTAATCCATCATAAATTCATTTGTTTTAGAGTAAATCCTCAAACTGGTCCTCCAACATTACACACATCACCGCATTAACCCTTCAAGATCTGTAATCTAAATTCTAAATTATTCTCTCAAAGATCTATATCATAAAAATTTGTCCTTATGTTATGTGGACTAAAGTGGTGCCACAAACAGATGAATCTGGTGATTGCTTTGTAACTTTGAGGGAGGGACTAATTTGGATAGAAAATCTTTGGAGGACTACTGAGGCGACACGTGTAACTTTGGAGGACTGATGTGAATATTTACTCCCTTTTTTAAAGTAACATTGATTTAAGACTCTCACCAGTTGTCCATCTATTATCAGGGAAGATTGCTGTTATGATTCTCGAATATTTGCTTCGCATGGGATTTCCATTTTGGAGGATTTAGTGATAGCTCTAGCAGATGGTGTTGCGAGTATATATCTGGAGTTTATTTCAGTTGATAGTGATGTGTCAAGTAAAACTAACAGCTTGGACATGTCATTATGTGCTCTGTCCACAAGGGAACTCCAGAAGTTACGTAATGAGGTATTTTAAATTAGTGTAGTTTTCAAGTTTCAAGCTTGCATATCTTGTTTCTGTTGTTTACTCATATTAGTGATTGGCTCATTGCCCACTCAGTGAGAACTGAATGATTCTTTTCTGTGAGAGGTTTTTTTTGTGGCTCCTCAGTTTTTTTTTGGGGGTCTCTCCATAAAATGTAATTATTCACTTAGAATAAAATTTTCCACTCTTGTTATTGCATTCAGTCAGGAGCTATAGTAGAAATCTTTTCTTAAATTCAACTGAACTGGAATTGTCCCTGTTCTCGTTTCATATTCCCTTAACTTTTGTTTCACTAATAGTAGTCTATGGTTTGGGGAAAGGACAGGTGATATTGACAGTTTGTTTTTGCTCATTCAATCATGGTTAACCACATGTGATTTTCTTTTCATATCCTTCCCCGCAAAATGTACATCTTTGAAATTGCATATTTTGCAGCAAGGATTTTATAACATGTTATACATGTGCGTAGATCATTCAAATGTAGATTATGAAACCTTTTTGTTTAAATATCTTTATAGATGTAAAATATATGTATTTTGTGCTTTACTTTAACAAATGAATGTCTTGTCACATGCTGTATGTTAACTAGCCTGGTCTGTGCTCCATTTATTATCAAACCCTTTCATGGGCAAACTGATTGTTATCTTAATTTGCCTTCCTCATTTTTGCTGCCTTTAGAAAATATTCTAGACATTCTGTTCTTTTTGCCATGGTATCACTTATGCTGTTTCTCATCAAAATATTATTATTGGCCATAATGTTTTAGTTGGTCCTAGACCTAGTCTGTATTGAATTTATATAGGTATCCCCAAATTGTTGGGATTAGGGCTTTGTTAACTGTGTCTTTAGGAATTCAGTTAGTGCCAGGTAAATTAAGAGTGTTTCAGGTTCTTTTTGGCACCCCAAGAAAGGAGAGTCAAATGGAAATGTCCTGCTCTGTGAGATGTACCTTTTTCAGACATACATTTACTATTTAATTTTAAATTTGGATGAAATTCCAAGATTTTCGGCGCTATTCTTGTTATCAGGTGGCTTTGAACCAGTGGTTGTATGACAACATGGACACAGTTGTGTCGATGTATGAGGATCGCTTTGATCTCTGTACTTTAGAGAGCCAACCCATTGATATAACAGACAATAGTCAGACTGAAAATCAAAATTGGTGGAAGAGGCTTACCCATCAAAATTCAAAATCCATGTCATCTGAATTACATTGCATTGAGATTAGCCATTTCTCAATGCCCGTAAAGAGGACCAGGGAATTAAGGGCCCTGACAGGATGGTATTTTTCTCTTCACCCTCTCTATTTAGGCTTAACTAAGTCTGGACAGTGGACACTGCATTTCATGTTATGTTCATTTAGTCACTGCTTGTTCTATTTTTCCAATTGAGTTCCTTATCTTTTCCGTTTGTGCATAGTGTCCTTATTTCCAACCGTAATCTCAATTAGATCATTTGGTACTTGCTTTACTAATATTTGATATGTTGGGTTTAACTTGGCAAATATGGGTCCCTACTGGGAAATATCTGGTCCAAATTAGATTTCTGCGTGCTTAACAAATAACATATTTTAGCTGCCGTCAGCGGGAAGTGCAACTCATTTGCAAACTTAGCATTGGCACATCATTGGCCCCATGCAAAACAAGCAGTTAACTGTCGGATTTGGATGGCAGTTGATTGTAGAAGCTACATTAGATGTAGTTGATAATTGAAGGGTATAAATTTGACAAAGTAAGATCTAAAATAAGCGTAGTCTGTAAGCCGTGCACGTGTTTCTTTTTGAGGATGACAAAAAAATAAATAAATGCTAATAGCTGTTAAATTTACATTCTATCAGACAGTTTCATTACAAGAAACTCAGGAAAATTCACTTGTACACTTAAGAACTCTGTCGCTGTAAAAGTTTTACTTTTTAATTTTTAATGTGCAGCGTTGGATTGTATTCTTACTATGATTATAGTTAGTGAGGTGGTAAAGTGGCATTGTGTTTTTCATTTTTCTCACATGTTCATTAAGTTTCAGAGAACAGTAGTCATGGTTTGTGGAATAAAATGTTGAATTTATGGAATTAAGAAAACTGCCGATGGGCTGTTTCTGTTCACTAGATGGCCCCCAACGAGAATTTCTAATCTTGTTTAATATATTAACTTATTTGTATGACGGGGTGCTGCCATGAATTTAACAAGGCTGTTTTAACTTGAGCATGGGAATGTGATATGAACCTTGGGAGAACCATACCACCAAAACAAGTCATTGTACTTGGAGAGCCCAAAAATCTTACACTAGAATCCGATACTTTCAATGTAAGACTCAAGTCCCATACTTTGCAATTGAATCCTAACACTCCACCACACCTTGCAGCCTCTGCCCATACGAGATGGTTGTGCACTTGCCCTGGGGCAAACACTGAATTATCAACTTTACCCCAACGTCATTCATTTGCAAGTTACAACTCCCTTGAGAGAATCATACCACAAACCATTATAGTTGGGTAGCCCGAGACCTTATAAACCCTAGACTAAAATCTCATACTTCTAATGTGATACTATAATAGGGAACTACCTTATGGAGTCATACTTTAGAAAGGCCCCTAGGTTATAGGAGTATAGAATAATTAAGTCTCATACTTTGCAATTGAATTCTAACACTATATTTTCTATAAAACTTTAGTGGGTTACGATCACAGTGTACTTCAAATAAAATCAACAGTAGATCATGCACCATTACTTGCTCACTGTAGAAACAAATTCATTTTTGAAATTTTTTATCCAATAAATCTGATTGTTGTTAAATATGCATGGCAGGCGGTATTACTTCAGCCTTTTCCTCGAGTTGTCAGATATCACCATGCCCCTTGTTAGAACAGTTATCGATAAAGTGAGCGATGCTATCTCATTCTTTTTAGTTAGTTTGATTGGGAGGTCTTTAGGACTTATTTATACAGGTATTAGGCAGTCTCTCAGATGGAAGTCGAGATAAGTGGTACAGTTTTGTGCAGTGCAGTTAAATTTTTCATCATTCTGTTTCCTTTTGCTTCATATATGTGGCATTTATAATAGAATTGAGGTTTAGAATCCATCAAATTGAAAATATTGCATTGCTCTCCTTCGGTCATGTAAGGCTTCAGTGGTTTATAAATCGGGAAAGCTTATTCATCTTGAGCTAATGCCAATTTTCAGAATTGAAGTTTCGTGTTTGGATCGGAATATCATTACAATACAATATATGCAGACTTTCACTGCTATAATTTCTGTACAACACTAATTAAGCTTGTTATTGCGCAATTCCCAAAGCGTTCAAGAGTTATGTTACCAATTCCTTCACTTATGGGAGATGCCACTCCACATATTTCGGAGATGTATCTAAGAAAAGCTCAAATTCCAAAAGGCAACCCCAGATGATCATTCATTACCAATTACTAAAGAAGTAATTTCATGGATCAAAGGAAATGAATAATAAATGAAAAATAAATAAGAAATTAAAATAATTATATAGATGTTAAATGAAATATTAATTATTTAATGTTTAAATAATATAATTGTATATAAATATAAGGTGAAAATAATCCATCTCCGTAGATTAATTTTTTATTATCTTCCTTATCTATACGAAGAAAGACGTGCTTGAACCCACTATCCACTTCTTATTATACTTCTCATGCCATGCATGTAGGTCAAACATGCCAATTTCTCATTACATTGTACAACCCTCAATTATAGGAAGTGATCATAAGACTTCATTACTATTGGTATCAACACAGAGGTAAAACATAATTTTTATCGACAAAATACATCATACGGGTAAATTTATGAATGAACTTATCATGACCTTAGTAATGTTTGTTCATGTCAAAATAATATAGGTTTTTTTGTGACTAGACTGCCCATCACTGTGTTACTTTGTGTCATCGAGGCATCACTTTTAGACCTTTTCCAAGGTTCACCCTAGAACCTCAACACCCGACATTCTATAGTTGTATCATATTGTAACTTCTTCAATCATATCGTTTTATGCAAATGATGCATGTATCAAAATCTCATATCAAGTTTTTTATTGCTTATTATAAATCTTTTAGACTTACATCTTTTATCAACCATTCCAGTATGAAATTCCAAGGGCTTTAAGTCATTTTTATTTGAATGGCGTCACTTACCTTACGCAAGACTAACTGTATAACAATCATATACTTATTGAGTCCCCTAAGACTTTTTCACAACTTAAAAAGATTCAGTTTGTAACACCATTAATTTTGTTATTACATTTTTAGTTCAATTTATTCTTAAAAAGAAAACTTTTGAAATTTTGAAGGCTGCAGGAAATCTTGTTCAAGCAAAATATGTCTCGCTCAAGTGAGACTGAGTTTTTTGAACCACTTGTTGTAGGCCATTCTTGCTCAGGTGAGATGAGTCTCGCCCAAATGAGAATAAATAATATCATCCTAACTGTCTTCTAACCTAGGTGAGAAGGCACAGGGGAAAGTAGGAGTTCTCTAGACCATGTCTCACTCAAGCGAAAAGGCATCTCGCTCATGCAAGATTATCAGAAAACTAAGAAAATTTTTCTGTTTGATATTCTTGTTCAGGCTGGAAGGATCTCGTTCAGCTAAGAGTGAGTCTCGCTTAAGCAAGAGCCTACTCGCTCTCAAGCGAGAAGTCGCAAACCAAAGAGGGTATTTAAAGAATCTCCCTACTTTAAAACTTGTATTGTAAGCCAAAAAAACTTATCTAACTTTTCTCCGTGTTCTCTCACTTCATTTCTCAAAGAAAACTCTCCTAAACATTGAACCATCTTCAAATTTAAGTCTGGACGTCTATTCCACTTGATTTTTAGTAAGTTCCTTGGAGTTCAATCTTCTAAATTTCACTTATATTTCTCCATTCTTTCTCTTTTCAAAAGTGCTTCATTTTGAAATATATAGAAAGAACTTGGTCTTTGGACGATCTCTTCAGCAACACTTTTCACAAAATCATCTTTTTGAGGTAAGGAGAACTTTATCCCATCGTTGAAACAATGTATAGAAGTTGTGCCCATGAAAGTGTGATAGTGTGTTTCTTTATTTTATAAATATATGTTTGAACGAGAATATTGCTAATTGTTAAAGTTGATGATGTATGTTTGGTTGATCTTGAATGATTAAAATGTATTTTCATTAAAATACATATTTTGGACTAAGTTCAAATGTGCTTGATACTAAGTACTATTTGTTTCACTGAATGATGAAAAATGGAGAAGAAAAATGTATTATCAATAGCGGTGGTGAAAAAGATTAGTGTAAATGGTTACAAAGATACATTAGAGATATAGAGTTTGAAGACAATTTGAGAAATCTTGAAGAAATGAGGGTGGTGAATGGTTTTTGTAGTAATTATGCATAAACTGAGTGAAAGCAAAAGCATTACAAGCTTCACACTCATTTCTTGATTAGACTCTTGACTATACTTTTTTTCCTAAGGGGTCTGATATTATGTACATTGTATTCATGTGCATGAGCTAATCGGTGATCATTTACATATATATGTAAGATCTCATAAACTCAAGAGGCAACATTTGACTGTGATCACAGAGTATAAGGAAGTGCGTATATAAGAAAGTAATAGTTTGCATTACATAATTGACGTGCTTGAGTTATAGTATTAACGATGTGTGTTGATTACGTGTGTGATGATGTAGAAATTCATGTCTGTATTTTGATTATGTTTTAGTGGTGAGGATGAAACTCATCCTTACTAATATTTCTAAGAAACAAGGATGACCACCCTTAAAAAAACCATTAGATTGACATAGTGGACTATAGATAGTAGATTCAATTATGTATTTAGGGAATGATAATGAGTCTGCCATTGTAAACTTGTTGTAGCTGTTGAAAATAGATTCAAAGATGTTTTTACTCTAGAGATGACAATGGGGTATAGTATTCCTTTTTAATACCCTATTATTGGTAGGATCCACCAAATTCTTAGTTTGTATATATATATATATATATAGGAATAGCTCATATGTCGGATGTAACATCCTTCTTTATAATTTGAATATTCTCCTTTATTAAATATATAGATGAAATTTGATTGAAATATTAAAGAATATGGATAGTTTTGAAAAAATTTACATCTATACGAATTTAGAACCGATAAAAGTTAATAAAGTTTTAAAAGTTTTTATATACATAAGTCTCATTCATAATAGTATAAAATAATTTTGCAATCTAAGTTTACAATTAGAATAATACTAACACTATAAATTTTAGCATCTTTCCTAACTCATGTTACATATAAATAAATTTAAAATACAATCAATACTACTTTTTGGCAAATTAAAGCTGAATATGTAAGTTGCAATTAAAATAGCTAACTACCAAATATTACAATTGCACTTCAAATTATTATTTACAACAAAGTTTATTAAAATACTATAAATTCTAAATGGAAACTTAATTATTATTATTATTACATTTCTCAAATAAACTAGATTCTATTAGAGCAATTCTTTTCCTTACAATCTATTGCGAGTATGATCCTACGACAGATCCATCTTCTTTTATCTCTTCATTACCTCAAAATATTTGTAAGGGTGAACATTCTTTGCTCTACTAAATTTTCATTTTATAACATAATAAAAGTAATACAAAAATATTTTCTAATACATTATGTATAAAAATAGAAATAATTCTTTTTTTTTTTTACAACACTAACAAGATAGAAATCATCCATATATATTATTTCACACTTAATCAAATGCAATCATTTAATATTATATGCTCTTAGATAATACCAACTTATACATTTTATAAACGAGTGTTACAACAGATCAAGCAAATTATCAATCATATCATTAGTACTTTCAAACATACACTATGCATTCTCACATCGAGCAGTATGTCATAATATGTGCATTATAACTATATTAATTAATGCATTACAATACATGTATCATAATTACACCTGTCGATGTACTACAATACTTGTATTATAATTATACTAATCAATATGTTATGACTCACCTATTACAATTACACATCTCACAATTTCATAATCATTGTCCTTGGGATCTCTTGAGGTCTTACATAAGTATTGATAGTCGTTAGTTAGCCCGAACAATACGGATATAATTTGTATTCCCTCAGCCCTTTTCACCAAAGGTATAATCAAGATTCTCGTTAGGAAATGAATGTGTAACCTGTAAATGATTTCACTTTCAGCAATTCATATGCACCCACTTACGAATTGCATTCACCACCCTCATTTTTGCAAGATTTTCCAAATCTTCTTTGAACTCTATACTCCCAGTATATCTTTGTAACTATTTATACAGTCTCAACATTTCTTATGACATTTACTTTTTCAACATTTCTCTTTCCAATTCAAATGACACAAACAAATTTAATTTCTCATGTATACTCATTTACATTAACCTTCTCTTCATCATTTTTCATTGATAAAACATTTTATCATCCGAAGATAGTCAAACACTTTTCATAATAACATGAATTCATCAATTTCAACATACATTAATCATTCATCACTTTCATATCATACAAATCAATACAATATGCTAAAGGTTAGACACCTTCAAACTTAAACTAATTGTGCAGTTAAACTTACATTGAAACTAAACAATAGATACATTGTCGGAGACACACTATTGGTTTTTTTATAAAAATCTTCTAACCTGAAGTTTAACCCTTTTCCTATTACACATATGGTCTTCAATGATAATTCATGATCTTAACTATTTATGCATAATAATCAATAACAAAGTTATAGAAACTTCTAAAAATTGATTTTATTCATAACTCTTATCCTAAAATTTGGCTCAGAAAACAAATTTTAGGTTTTACATACCCACAAAACTTTCGTATTATACTTTTAGAAAAAAATTAGTGATCTACTATCCTAAATAGGAAAATTTTAAATTTCTAAGTCAAAAATATGTAAATAGGAATTAGGGTTTAGGATCCCTTACCTAGAAATAGGTCTCTAAGACTACTTTCTTCGTGAGATCTACAGAGAAACACAATATTATGATAAAAGATACTACTTAAGGATCAAGATTTTTTCTAGATATCACAAAAGAGAGCACTTTTAAGAAGAGAGAAAATAGAGGAATAGAACGGAGTTTAAAGAACTAAGCTCCAAGAAACTTACTTGGATCCAAAAAGAATAGACGTTTAAGCTCAGATCTAAAAGAGATTTGGAGTTCGAGAGAGTTTTCTCTATGAAGGGAAGGTGAG